TACTCATGGTCTTGAACTTTGCAATTATAAAGACGTATTAATGCAAAAGCTTGAAATAGTAGGAAGGAATGCACTTAAGTCACTCTTTAATAATTCAAAACATAGCAAAAATTAAATTCACTCTTTGTTTTACATCCAAGATGTATCAACAATTGTACAGCAAAACAATTTAAACTTATTTATTCGCATATTGACGATAAAACAATCTTAGGTGTTATAAATTTGCAGTTCAAAAACCAAACCGCAAGGCACCCTTTTTAAATGATGTCATAGATTTATGCAAATGAAATGAACTAAATTAAGAGAACATAATGCAAAACACAAAAAGTAAAAGTATTATTGTGTTAAAAAATAAAATTATTAAAAAAAGATCTTAAAAGGTTAAGCTATGCAATTGAGTTCTGGAACTCATTGGAGCAGAGGAAAATCTTCAAAAATATTCTTGAAGTGAATATTCCAAGATAAACTTATTTCTTTTCAAAAATGTAACTTTATAATGTTGCCCTGTTCTGGCTGATAATTCAAAAATCATAACATAAAAGTCTTTAGGCGACCTCGAAAACAACACTCGGAAAACTGTAAAGTTTTGAAGTACAATACTAATATTTTGATGCAGACCCAGCAAACATTCTATAGCGGAATTTTAGTTGACCTATATAGACACTTTGAGCGGTTTACTATAGTTTCGTAGCTCATTGCTTACTTAGTGAACTATTAGCAGCAAGCGCTAAAAGTGGCTGGGCAATTACAAGCCACTATTAACATATTGGAAAGTTATTGGCAGATTATTTTTAGAGGCTGTTACTGATGGCCCACTAAGTAATCAATGAGCAAAAAAACAACTAACCGCTCAAAATGCTTATATGGGTCCAATGAAAATCCATTAAAATAGTGTTTGCTGGGAAGTTTTTTTGTCATCATCACCTCACGCTAAAATCATTATTGAATTATTGAACAACAGCAAAAATTTATGTTTTGGATTCGCAGTGTACCATAAAGGCATTTTGAGCGGTTTATAAGAGTTTTGATCTTGCATTATTTCGCTCAGAGGCATTCGCTAGCCGCTCAGGGGCAATGGCTAACCGATAGCTTTTCAATATATTGTGGCTAATTAATGGTCCTTTTTTTTTTTGACGGCCATTTTTTTTTTGTGGCGGCCATATTATATTGTTTTGGTTTTTTAACTCTTTTATATTGGTCTTTTAGCGCTTATCATAATTATAAAAAGATAGGTAAAGAAATCATATAGAGGTAACAGAAGTTTTATTGTCATTACCAAATAAGCAAAAACCCATGTGTAGAGACAAAAAGATTTATCATCCCAGACAGTTTATCATCCCAGACAGAAAATATTGTAACACAGGTTGACAAAAGTTTTCTGCTTACCCCTTGATTTTTTTGCATTAGAGGCTTTTTTGATGGCAGAAGCCTAATGTTGTTGACACACTAATTGTATTTTTTTGTTTTACTTTTTCTTCTGATTTTTATTCATTTTCATTTTTTCACTTTTTTTTTTTTTTTTTTGTGCGCTTTTTTTTCAAATTTTTTTAAAAACATAATGGAATTATAACTTTATTTAATTAAATGCTTCTGTTTTCATTGCCACTTGCAACTGATTCATTTTATTTATTTCGTTGTTTATTGTATATGTTTTATGTTCAATATTTTTAATATATTTTATATGATAATATTTTAATATTTAATTTAGCAAAAAATCAAGAGCTTACACTAATTGTCTGAGATTCAAAATTATTTAATAAGTAGATATATATATGTATATGTTTTATTTTTAATATTATTAATGTATTTTATATTTTAAATATTATAGCAGAAGTGTTAGTTAAAGTATTAGTAGATATATATACTAAGAATTTTCCTTATTTCTTTTTAATTACAATTATTTCCTGTAAAAAGGTTAACAGTGTGCAATGCGTTCAAATTCATTTTTTTTTTTTTTAATTAAATACTGTGCGATGCGTTATTTTTTTTCTTTTTACTTTTAAAAAGTAGTTTTATGTGTTAGTATACATTTTTATTCAATAATATATTGGTGATCGGTATTTATACTCCAATAACCTTTTGGTGATTGGTATTTATAATCCAATAATCTTTTGGTGATCGGTATTTATTATCCTGAAATCATTACAGCCTTTTCAAATATTTAAGGGAATTTATTATAGTGTTTTTTTTTTTGTTACTTATTTTATACTTTTGTTACTAATTTTCATTCACAAATTTTAATATTTATTTAAGGTCCTATAAATGGCCCTATATAAAAGGTGATTTTGAGAAATAAAAAGAAATCTACCATATTTAAGTGTTTATAATGTTTATTAGAGAGAATTAGGAAAATAAAAAAAAATAAAAAAATACATTTGGTTGATCCATAATGGGGAAAAAGTGCCATAAAATCACATTTTAATTGATCACATTTTAAAATGCTGTCAGTCAGTTTGTCTTTTTCTGTTTTTAATTAAACTTTAGGACATTCTACAGTACACCCAGATACTCCATTTTACTCTCAGATTTTTCCTAAATCAAAATGGTAAAAAAGTTAGTAACTTTTTTGAATGAACCTATCAATTTTCCATAATTTTGTGATATGTTTTGAAACGTTTAGGTCTATAAATCAATGTTAAGAGTAATTCATAAAAATTCTGACGGTTAAATGGAGTGCATTTATGTTGTGAGCATATCCTGAAAATTTCAAATTAAATACTCTATCCAATTATATTTTAAGTTTCCAAGAAATGCTCAAAATGCAAAGCTGTGAAAAATGCAAAAAAAAGGTTTAAAAAGTAAAAATATTTTTTTAAATTCTAATAATTTCCTGTAGCATAAGAGTCTATGAGTTAAAATGTAGCATAAGAGTCTATGAGTTAAAATGAAGCATAAGAGTCTATGAGTTAAAATGTAGCATAAGAGTCTATGAGTTAAAATGTAGCATAAGAGTCTATGAGTTAAAATGTAGCATAAGAGTCTATGAGTTAAAATGTAGCATAAGAGTCTATGAGTTAAAATGTAGCATAAGAGTCTATGAGTTAAAATGTAGCATAAGAGTCTATGAGTTAAAATGTAGCATAAGAGTCTATGAGTTAAAATGTAGCATAAGAGTCTATGAGTTAAAATGTAGCATAAGAGTCTATGAGTTAAAATGAAGCATAAGAGTCTATGAGTTAAAATGTAGCATAAGAGTCTATGAGTTAAAATGTAGCATAAGAGTCTATGAGTTAAAATGTAGCATAAGAGTCTATGAGTTAAAATGTAGCATAAGAGTCTATGAGTTAAAATGTAGCATAAGAGTCTATGAGTTAAAATGTAGCATAAGAGTCTATGAGTTAAAATGTAGCATAAGAGTTTATGAGTTAAAATGTAGCATAAGAGTCTATGAGTTAAAATGTAGCATAAGAGTCTATGAGTTAAAATGTAGCATAAGAGTCTATGAGTTAAAATGTAGCATAAGAGTCTATGAGTTAAAATGTAGCATAAGAGTCTATGAGTTAAAATGTAGCATAAGAGTCTATGAGTTAAAATGTAGCATAAGAGTCTATGAGTTAAAATGTAGCATAAGAGTCTATGAGTTAAAATGTAGCATAAGAGTCTATGAGTTAAAATGTAGCATAAGAGTCTATGAGTTAAAATGTAGCATAAGAGTCTATGAGTTAAAATGTAGCATAAGAGTCTATGAGTTAAAATGTAGCATAAGAGTCTATGAGTTAAAATGTAGCATAAGAGTCTATGAGTTAAAATGTAGCATAAGAGTCTATGAGTTAAAATGTAGCATAAGAGTCTATGAGTTAAAATGTAGCATAAGAGTCTATGAGTTAAAATGTAGCATAAGAGTCTATGAGTTAAAAAGTAGCATAAGAGTCTATGAGTTAAAATGTAGCATAAGAGTCTATGAGTTAAAATGTAGCATAAGAGTCTATGAGTTAAAATGTAGCATAAGAGTCTATGAAATAAAATGTCATAGTTATCATTTTGCTCTGATGATTTTCTTCGCTTTTTTTACATTGTCAGTAACTTTTTTGGTTATGCATTTTACACGAGATATATTCAGTTTTTTTTTGCAATTGGTGCGAAACTATTGCTAAGGATTCCTTTTCTGTCATTGTTAAAATGTGTTACAGTTGAATAGGTACCTATTTCTATGGTTTCTTTTCCAAAAAATATATATATTGATACACGAGACCATGTAAGTGCATTGAAAGCCTCGTTTACATTTCGTGTTTTGCCATGCAAACACTTTTCCAATAGCTCATCCTCCATTAAAGTTTTAAAAGTTGAAAAGACAAGATTTTTTATCTACAGAGGAATTAAATTTAGTGACCTATATATTTTATTTCCTTTTGACCAACACTTGCACCAATATCCAGCATTTCGTGGGCAAAATTTATGACAGTCGAATGGATCTGGTAGGTCATTGAAATGAAAAAGATCGATAATATTGCCTTCTTTATTTCAAACACTATTACAAATGGCTAGGCCATAATAATTTAGAATAGAGCCAATGCACTTATTGGCAAACTTATCTATACCAGATAAATTTTGTTTTAGTGTTCTTATAAGATTTGAAAAGATTGTGCAAACGAGTCCTAAGTCGCTTCTGTACGTGACCAACACACTCGAGCTTGATTAGTGTTACATTATGATCTTTATATTGATTAGATTTTGGAACATTGTTAAACAAAAAAAGAACTACTTAAAGAGATTATATAGGACCATAATCATTTTAAACGGTAACTATAGGCGTTGCTATGTAAATTTCCGAAAATGGATAGCCTAAAAAGTTATCAAAACTGAAAAAAAAGGTATGGTAGGTGATTTAATTTTTTCGGGAATGAAAGTAGTGGTATACAAGATGCTGTTTTATTTAAAAAAAAAAAATTCTAAAAAAAAATTTATTTTTTCATTTTTTTTAGGGCTACCACCCTAAATAACAATGTTTTTATTCATGATTTAAAGTTGACTTAAATTATTTATATGTTTATAAACTTAAGGTGAATACACATTTTTGAAATTCGATGCTGTATTTATAAGAAGAGTTCAAGCCTACATACTTCAAGCATACTTTCCTTCTGCTTCCCTTGTTGTAGTGTCTTGGATATCATTTTGGTTTCATACAAATTGTGCAGTAGCAAGAATGAGTGTGTATTTTAATGCTATTTTCTTTTTTATAAAATGTACATATTTTGTATGTATGTATGTATATTTTGGACAGGTTTTGGAATCGTTAGTCTGCTTACAACATATAGGCTGTGGGAAGTTGTTATAAAAAGTACGCCAAAAATAAATTATACAACTGCACTTGATATTTACATGTTGGGGTGTATAACTTTTATTTGTTTTTCGTTGTTGGAGTATGGTCTAGCGACAAATTTTCATTTTTCTCGTTGGAAAAAAAAACGATCAACTCATTTGTTGAATAGCTTAAACAAACGTCGTGAAACATTAAACCAAGTTGATTTAAGAGTGTCATTTTCGGTAAGTAGAGTTTTGCATTATTACTTCACTTTGTTAGTTTAATAAGTTTATATTTTATTAATTTCATTTTTTAGAATGCTTTTTAAACCTGATTCATTGTAGACAAATAGTATTATTACTAATGTTTTATGAACTTCGACAATTGTAAAATTTAACATTTACAACTTACAATTAAACTACAATTACAACATGTACAACATGAAAAAGTAGCACCTATTTGTATTTTCTAAACTCTCTATTAAAAATACGCTTCTTTGAGATCCAGGTTGACAATACTTTTTATTTCTTTTGACAATACTAGGGATTTAACCCCAAATACTAAAGATTTGAACCCAAATATTTTCATAACTTGACATGATGGTAAAAAATGAGTTGCATATTTGAAATTAAAAAAAGAAATGCTGTACGAAAAGCAAGCTCTTTGCTCGGCAGCAGAAAAAAAACTTTTTTGTTGACCTGCGTAATCCTTCATACTCGACTATAAATTTTATATTAATTTCATATTGCCATTATTTAATTCTCTTAATTTCTATCTTCAGTTCATGATGTTTGATATTTCATAACTTCCTTTGATATTTCATAACTTCCTTTAAATGACTTTATTATATGTTTTTAACGATGTTTGATATTTCATAACGAGATATATTTCACTTCCTTTAAATGACTTTATTATATGTTTTTTAAAAGTTTTTTTTTACAAAAACATCATCATATCTATGAGACATTTTAATTCTATTAACATATCGTTATAACTACCAATATCTCATTATATCTAATATAATAATTAAAAAATTTATTTTTAATTCGTAAATGCCAACAGAAAAAATAATTATTTAATATAGAATTAATTTATTTTAGAATAGCTTGAAAAATAAACAACCATTGTTTTATCTGGAAAGTTCTGATACTAAAGCAACACATCCCGAAGGCGTGGACTTATATAACAATCTCGGAAAAGCGAATATCCGCAAAATGTCTAAACAAGAGCAAAAATTGAAACTGAAAGAAGAATATTTAAGTATGTGGAAAAGTGATCTTCCAAAAAAACGCCCTTATTATTTTGAACCCATGATGGTGACAGGAAAACCAGCATCTTTAGATATAGCTAGCCGGTTTTTGTTTCCGTTTGGTTTTCTTTGCTTTAATGTTGTGTATTGGGCATATTTTTTACAAAAAACATAAAAAAAGCTGAGTTCTACTAACTTTTTATAAGTTTTAGGATTTTTAAAAAAATATCAATTACGAAAAAAATATTTGAGTTTGAAATTATAGAATTTTTTCTAATATTTAAAAAAATGTTTTCTTTTCTAATATTTAAAAGGTTGTTTACATTTGTGTTTTATTTCTTTGTAAGATGCTAACGTAAATAAAATAAATTTTATGTAATGCCTTAAAAGTTTTTTGAAGTGCATTCGGTTTGTGCTTGGTTTACCCCAGGGCCGACTGCACGGGTTTCAAAGTGGAGTGGCTCAATCATCAATTTCTAAAAAATGTCCTCTGTATCTAAAAATTTCTTTAAAAAAAAAAAAAAAAAAAAAAAAAAGAGCTTTTAGAAAAAAATTTTATATCCCAAATAAATGAAAACAAAAAATGGACCTATAAGCGCTTCTTTCCAGCCTGCATCTATTAAAATTATCGTTTTACAAACTTGACGTCTATATCTCATATATTTAAGAATAATAGTTTATAGTTTTTACATATTAAAATAATTTAAAAAATATATACTTCAGTTACAACGTCAATTTGAAAAACAAGTTATTTATAATAACTGAGGCTAGCTCGCTTGAAAAATTATGTATTATTTCTTTGTATCTTTTAGGATTCGATCGAATTTTAACGTTACCCTTGCCATTTTTATCTTCATATATTCTGAAACTTAAATCAACGGAATCATGTTGATCACTTTGAATCTTTTGCTCAAGTCTTTTAGAATCATCTCGAATACTGTTGAATCCATTGTTATGATCTTTGATTGCGAAATTATTATCTTTGACTGCGAAATCTTTTGCAGAGTATGTGTAAAGGTTTTTGTTGTTAGCATCCAATCTATCAAATTTTGATACGTTTGATTTTGGACTTTTAGACGCAATCACTTTTACATTTTCTTGTATAGATTGAGAGATAAGATTACTCAAAGTGTTTGCATAACATTCAATTAAGTGTAAATTCCTTAAAACACTTTCAGCCTTCGATTCGCTTGATGACTCCATTATTTTTTTACCAACCACTTGTTTCAATTTTTGTTTTAATCAATTTCTTAAATTTTTTTATCAGAATTTTACGCTTCAAATAATTTATATTCATTTGAGGATGATCTAATATCTCATCTTCAATTTTTGACAGCTTATAAATTGTGGTTTACTGCTTTTTAACTTTTTCCGGAATATATTTTTTTAGTTCCACTTTTTCTTTTTTGAGCTCTCTATTAATTTAACTAAATTCAAAAACGAAACAAAAAAATTAATATAAAAAAATAGAGGACGGATTTAAATAAACTGGCTTTAAATCATAATAAAAAAAATCATAAAAAATAAATATTTATTATTCATACAACTATACATTATTAAAACGTTTCCTGCAATTACAGTTGCAATTATCGTTTCAATATTGTGAAGCAAAATATATTGAATTATGTATTATGAATTAAACAAAAATTTAAAAATACTTAAATTGATTATAAGCTTCAAAACATATACAATAAACAACGGTTAAATTAATTGACGAGGTTTCGTCTGATTCATACCTTATTGATAATTACAAATATCGTATTTAATATGGTTATATATATGTATATGTATATATATATATATATATATATATATATATATATATATATATATATATATATATATATATATATATATATATATATATATATATATATATATATATATACATATATATATATATATATATATATATATATATATATATATATATATATATATATATATATATATATATATATATATATATATATATATATATATATATATATATATATAATCGTCATTGGATCATTCAGTCTCTCATTAAAATCATTGTAGCGGCTTCTTCAACCTACTTTGAAAAAAAAATTATGTACTTCGTATCACAATTTTTTTTTTATAAATCTTACTTAATAAACATTACAGCATTAGACCAAAAACTAATAAGAAAAATTAATAACAAATAAATATTATAACTTAAACCAAAAAAACACTCAGATCGTTGTAATTTACATTAATTTTAAACGCTTTAGCTGAGTAAAACAAAATATTGATATAAGATCTGTTTTCATTTTGGTTACATTATTAGTATTAATGTTTTTTAAACTTTATTGAGGGAAGGAAGGAGGCGTGACCTTCCTGGTTAAACGCTTCTACGCCGTGCTTTGTGATAAGACTGACCGATCTTCTTAGAACCACATAAAAACTAAAAAAAAATGCGGTTATTCAATTTGCTTAAATGCCGCTGCAAAATATCATGGTATGTATTCAGTAATGTAATAATTTATAACAAATTTTGCAATATTGCAATTTAGTAATTTGTTACGTTTTGAATTTTTAAAGTAAATTTTTTTTAAAAATTTTAAAAGAAAGTTCAAAACGAAGATTTACCAATTTCCACAGTGTATTTTTTAAATGTTTTCTTGTTTTTGGACGTTTTTTAAAGGTTTAAACCTCATACACCTAACGTTGCATTAATTAAACGTTTTTCGGACGTTTCTATTAAGTTTAAACCGAATAAAAACGTCCAAAATACTTTTAAAAAACTGACCCTGCCTACTGGGTCCTATGTTTACATTTTATACAAAGTACTATGAAAAAACGTGAAAAACAACTTGTTTCTTTAAGTAATAATATATCCTAGTTACGCAATTATTGGTATTATTTATTTCCTCTTTTTTTTTTTCGTATATGCATAACGCGCATGTCTTTGCAAAATATAATGATAGGTTCGCCTGTTCTATATGCTTCTGCAAATTTTGAAAGAACGAAGAAAAAAACATGCAAATGAACGAAGAAAAAAATTCATAATATAAGCGTTAAATGATGACATATTTTAATATAGTATTGTTTGTATTAATAAACGCACGCTTAAAAATATCAGTTAAACTTAATTATTGAAAAGAAAGAAAAAAAAAGGCTTCATTGATATGTTTTGTTATTCGACACGTGTGTTACCTAAAAATGGTTTTTAAAAAAGTAATGCGATAACTCTTTATGTTAATTTATTTTTAATAAGCTGCTGTTTACTTTAACTTGAGTAAACAATTTGACCGGTAACGTTTACTTTTTACTTTAATTTGAGTAAACCATTCGACCGGTAATGTTTACTTGTACTTGTGCAAATTTTCATATAATTATTTTTTTAATAACAACATTTTTTTTAATTTTTCCACCTCTGTAAATAACAACAAAATTTTCACCTAAATCCAACTGCAGCTGCCTACTAAGCTAATGTAAGTTACAATGAACCTAACCAGAATAATAGGAATTCAGGTAAGTTGCAACTTCTGCAAAATCAACTCAATAAAATCTTTTGCGGGTTTTTATAAATTCTCATAAATATCTATATATTGTATTTATTCATAAAGATAATAATAATAAAATAATAATAATAATACCATTTAAAATTAAGTATGCCCACCATATAAAATCATTTATTATTCTTAAGTACCAAAGTGACACTGAGCGCTTAAAAATATTTTGGAAACTAAAAGATGCAAATTTAAAATTTAAAATGGAAAATAATTAAACAGAGCAATTCTTACAACCCTACAACGAATTCCTGAAATTATACATAAATTAAATCATGCATAAGTAAAATTATGCATAAACAAAATCATACATAAATAAAATTATGCATAGATAAAATTATGCATAAATAAAATTATGTATAAATAAAATTATGCATAAATAAAAGGTATGAAATTCTATTCTTTAAAAATATAAATTGTTAACTTCGTTTTCCATTCTAGCTAGCTGTAGTTGTATTTGATAATAAAAGGGTAATAACAGTATTATTAACATTATATTTGTAAATATATAATCAGTTATGGCCGACCACGCAATATTTATAGCAAAAAGCGATTTTTTTACTGTATTGCGTACGTATTTATTACTAGAAAAAATTCAAAAATTAATATGAAGTGAAAAGAATAAAATGGTCACAGTATAAAAGATGCTTTAAAACTTTGTAAATTTTATAATAAGTCTTCAAACTTAAAAAACAGTCTATGTTCTTCGTTGCATATTCTAGCGTTATTTTGTGACACCGTGACACGTGAGACACGTGATTTTGTGAGTTCATTGTTGCTTTTTCTCAAATCTGCTAATGAGGCTTTTTTGACTGAGTGAGACCAAAACCGTATTAAAGCGGAGGCTAATGAGGCTTTAAGCGCAGGCCCTTTGAAATAAAAAAAAACCCTCCAACCTGTGACGTTTCTTTTTTTCTTTTTTTCAAGGAACCTGGTAATTACTTAGATAATTTTTTGTATTACTTAGATAATTTTTTGTATTTCTCAGTTTTTTAAATCAATTTCTTTGGAGCGTTGACGAAATATGGGAGACGTTGCAGATATATTAATAGGTTTATAGTAATCTATTTAAGTTTCATTTTTAATTTTATGAACACTTCCGTAACCGCAGAAAATTTAATAGAGACACAAACCTCGAAATATCAAAACAACGTCGAAATATTAAAACTACGTTGAAATATCAAAACAACGAGAAATATATATAATAACAAAAAAAATATATAGATCTATTTTATTTTTTAGGTATCAAAATCTACTTTATCAAAGGAATTCACTCTCAAAAATGTCAAATTCTCAAAAATCACTCTCTCTCACTCTCAAAAATGTCAAATTTTCAATCAAGTTTATCTTGGTAATAGAATTTTATTGTAGTAATGTTGCGTTACAGTAAATGTGAATAGATCTATAAATGTGTAAGAAGAGTACTCAATACGCAGTTAATATGCAGACCAGACTACTGGTGAAGCCCTAGCTAAGCGCTCTATGTAAGAGCGTTTGCTCTTGGAAGGTGTTTTTTTTTTTTTTTTTTTGGAGGGGGGGAGGTTTCTCGGGATAGTTATTTCGGGGTTTTTTTCCAAGGGGGTTTTTTTTCTGCTCGCATATTTAAAAATTTAATTAAAACACTCTTGAATTTATACTTAGATTGAAACATTTTGAAAACTTCTTAACTACTTTTATCACGGGTGTTTCACTCAATATAAAAGCGAGCTTGATATCTTGAGTTTATCAAAA